CGGATTCATATAACCAGAGATACAGATTTTTAATGAGAGGGTTCTTTTTCAAATTTGATAATTTTTGGCAAACGTAAAAAATTCTAACTAAAAAATAATTTTTTTTCGGTCAAATCCTAATACACGCGTTTACTTATTTTCCGAAAAGTACGTTTAAAAAAAGTTTCAGGAAAACCAAAGTGTGAAATTTTTTTTTGGTAAAATCTGTTCCGTTTGTAAAACGGCCCATATTGGCCAAAAGATCCAAATAAGAAACCTGACCTGATTGATTTTGCTATCACAAGAAGAGTGCCGCAGGCTCATGTTCGTGTGGAGCACTTATTAGATCTATCATCAGATCATTCGCTCATCTTGCTTCACCTCTACGACCATCCTCAGGTTACAGAACGCCCACGTTCTCTAACTACGGGTAAAACAGATTGGCTCAAAATGCCCTCCAACGTTAGCACCCCTCCCCGATTTATTTAACAAGACGTTTTATCAGAGGTCAGGCTCAGCCGGCCGCATAACTTGGTCTGACAGCGAGGGCTGGCGGATTTCCATGAAAGGCAGCCACATGTCCTAGAATTGCCAGGCGTCCCCTAATAGATTCCCTCTTGGTCTTCTCATGGCGAGTGCCGCGAGCCAGACCAAGTACGCACTACCGCAGACCCCCTTCGCCCTTAGTTGATACCTCAATCAAATCAAAACTTTGTTTTACTCAGTAAGGGCTAGTACTCAACCCAACAAAAAGTCGTCCAAAACAAAAACTTCATATGAAACAAAATTTTTTGACGTTGCTTTTCATATGAAGTTTTTTGTTTTGGACGACTTTTTGTTGGGTTGAGTACTAAGCCTAACCCGGTGGCTGACGCACTACATCTCACGTCAGCCCACCGCTCGTCGAAGACCCTAATCCCAATCTTTAAAAATTTGTCTGTAAAGAGATCCTTGCGTGACCGAGCCTCACCCCAGCCTAAACAAGAGAGAACGCTATAGTCGGGTTGGTATCCCGACTATCAAATACCCGTCACTCCGCTAAAGGGAGTGCAAGGGAGACGGATATATAAAATTTTTTGATTGCGTATAACTTTTTAATGAATGGTCCGATTAAAAAATGTCTTCTACATTTCGATAGGTATAAATATACACAACAAAATTGCATTTATACTTCTCGGAAATCATTAAAGATGTGGGCGCAGGACCCATTTTAAAATCGTTAGTGGGCGATTGTGGGCGTTAGAGGGGGAGTTGCGCTGCGTAGGAAGCCCAAGAATATGTGTGAAAAATCTCAACCTTCTAGCTTTTGTAGTTTTCGAGATCTCAGCGTTCATACAGACAGACAGACGGACAGACAGACGGACAGACAGACGGACAGACGGGCATGGCTAGATCGACTCGGCTAGTGACCCTGATCAAGAATATATATACTTTATGGGGTCGGAAACGCTTCCTTCTAGCTGTTACATACTTTTGCACGAATACAATATACCCTTTTACTCTACGAGTAACGGGTATAAAAACTACTTCAAACCCGATACTCGTAGAGTAACGGGTATATTGTATTCGTTGAAATATATGTATAAGCTAGCAGGAGGCGGAGCGGAGTGGCAGACTCGAGGACAGAACTGGTTCGAAGGAAGGGGGAAGACGATACTTAGCGTATCGTAAAACCCGGAGCATGCGCAGATGCGCAGAGGTTCCGCCGATGGAGCGCAAGGCTGCAGTCGCGAATCACAGCACACGCATCAGGCCTCCCGCTGGTGCATGAGTCTACGCAGCCGCAGCTGCAACTTAGCTGCAACAACGATGCACACGGCCACTGTGGACGCGGCACGCGGAACACCGGCTACGAACAGGAGTGTGGAAGACCCGGATCAGAAACAGCAGAACCGGACCTGCAGCAAGTGGATCACGGAGCTGAAAAAGGAACAGAAGCGCTGGCTTTACAAAAAAAAAGAAAACAAATCTCGAATTTTACCCACTAGTTCCAAGGTAAACATTGGTTATTTGAGATGGACCGAAACGAAAATGGCAACGCTAGACATCGATAACTGGAATTTGAGACATGGAAGTGGCAACGCCACTCACCACGATCGATGAACGCGATTGTGAGTTGAAGCGGAGTTGCCAGACTGCGAAGAGAAAAATGGTGAGTTTCGACGTGAGAGTGGCGCGGATATTCAAAATTCCGTCCGGAGGCGAGGATCAGCGACCAAGGAGGAAGAATCGTCAAGGAGCCAGGAGCAACAAGGAAGGATTAACAAGGAATAAGGAACAAGGAGCAGGAGCAAGGACGGCGCCGGGAGGTGTACACGCGAGGGAGTGCGCCGGGAGGAGAAAGCACCTTCTTCAACAAATTTCCGCAACAGCCAGCTGACGAAGAAACCAAATTCTACGAAAAGTAATGTAAAGAACTGATTATTTATGTCTGCTCGCTACGAGATTCGTGCGGCTAGCTCAGTATAGTTGTGTGTTCGTCCCACCAAATTTATATAAAACGTGACCGCCCAGTAGATCAGTGAGAATGCACAGAATTTGCGGGTTCTTAGTGGGTTTATTAAGGATGTAACGGTACAGTGATCTTGATATGGCCGCTCGTGGCCATCGACGACTCCTGGTCGCCTTGATGACTTGGCGCTCTCCTCGTTGACGGAGTGCTCCGGTTCTGTAGCTCCCTCAACAATCTCTGCAGCTCCCTGAAGATCCTTGAGGCTCCCTGAAGATGCTTGGCGCTGCTCGTCTCGGCTGTGTAGAATCGACCACTACTCGTAGCGTCTTAAACTCGCCAAGAGTTCAGCTGCGCGGGTTTAGGGAAGCGTCACCGTTCTCAGACTAGGGTGAACAGAGGTCGCGATCTCCAGGAGTGTCTCCTCTCGATGCACCACCGACCCTTGCTCTGTCCCGGATGGTCCCACTAGAATTCCACTCAGATCGCGCTGGCAGTCCAGGTTACGCAGGGATACTGCCGAGCGCTTCACTTCGCTTCTACGCCTAGTGCAAACGAACGTTCCGCCCTAGCTTCACCCTTTGGCTTATCGTCCTTGACGTTTCCTCGTAGCTTGATCTGTCGTGGTGTGTGGCTGCTTGGCTTGACGTAGCGTGGCTTCTGGTACATGACTCAACCGTAGGGCTTCTATGGAGTTCTCCATTTGAGGCCACAAACGCTCGACTGATCTCCCTTCTGGTTCGCTTCACTCGGGGTTCGGACACACGCCGCTCCGGGACTACACGACTCAAACCGCAGTGCTCTTCTGGAGTGCTCCACTCGACTCCACAGACGATTGACCGATCTCCCTTCTGGCTGATGGGTATCTTCCCAAGCTCACGATTTCTTGTCGCAGGCTTTCACCACTCAAGTTCTGTTCGACGCTCCAGGCTAGATGCGAGGATTTCGTTGAGACAGGAATGAAAACGGATCGCCTTGACCTAGCCGTGTGACGCCCTCTGGACCTCAGCTACCTGTGTCTCAATTCGGAGATTTCTGGTGATCCAATCCCGAACGTCTCGACGTAGCGATCTTGATCCTTGTAGGTTCCCACGGCGTTGCTTCCGGCGACTCGACTTTTGTTGCTCACTGACTGGTCACTGTACTGGCTGACTTGTTCACGTGGATTATCTGGACTGATCTTGATAGATTGACTCTTCGTGATCGACTGATCCTGCTTCCAGCGCCCGGCGGCTTTATATAGGGCCTCCGGGTACCGTTATTTCCCCTTTGCGCTCTGTCCGCGGCAACTCTCCACTCTGGGTCCAAAGTCCGTGGTTCCCGTTTGACCCACTTGTCCTTCACGCATGGCCTCCGCTTTTATTTCTGCGTGTTGCTGCCATCCCGCTGTTCCCGATGGTGCATGTGGCACGCTTGTGTGTTGCTCCGTTGCGGAGATGTGGCCTCTGTCCAACGTCCACTGCAGAGTCCAAAGTCCGGCGCAGTTCCGTTATTTCCTTCTGCGCTCTGCCCGCGGCGACTCTCCAATGCAGGTCCAAAGTCCAAGGTTCCTGATTGACTCGTTTGCACATCGCCCACGGCCTTTAGTTGTTGTTCTGCTTGTTGCCGTCGTCCCGCTGCTTTCAATGGTGCATGTGGCACGCCTGTGTGACGCTTGGTTGCCGAGATGTGGCACTTGACCTCCTAGTCCGAAGTCCACGGCAGAGTCCAAAGTCCGGTGCCTGTTCCGTTAATCCCTTTTGCACCCGGCACTCTCGCTCTGCCGGAGAAGTCTCCACTTTCTCTCTCTCTCTGCACCCTTGTTCTCCCGACTCTCACTCTCCAAACTCTCTCTTCACCTTGAAGTCTCCACTCTCTTTTCACCTTGAAGTCTCCACTCTCTCTTCGCCGCGCCGCTACTACGCTAATTCGCCGTAAGTGGTATGCGGCCGGCGATCCGTTATTGTTGTTGGTGCTATTTGTGGGGAGCTATTCAACTCCTCACATTCCCCCCTTACTTCGGGAAGTTTTTAAAGAAAACTCGTTCCTACTCTCTGGCGTTCGCTAGTGTATCCTAGCCATTGAGTCCTTGCGATGGTCTTGTTGATTCCCTCGGCGCTCCCTCGGTGCTCCATCGTTGCTCCCTCGACGCTCCCTCGACGCTTTCAACTCCGAGAGTTTCTATGGCGCAAGTCGGCATCTCTGCAGCAATTTGAACTTCCCGCGCCGATCCTCCATATGACCACACTGGGCATCGATAGCCATCGGCTAACGCTATGCCAGCGGCCCGCAGTTTGAATTTCCCGCGACGATTCTTCGCCCTTCATTCGCCCTTGGCTAGTTGCTCTTGGCTGGCAACGTTGACATTGAGTTCCGAGTGGAATTCGAATTAGCTTCGCCAATCGAAGCAACAGGTAAGTGCTGGCATGTTTACTTTCATTCTTCCCCAGCTAACTCCTTTTCTTTTCTGTTTCAGGTGCCGATTCAACCATGTATGCCCCTTTAATCTTTCCCTGCTTTCAGCCGTGTTGCTCCCCGCCCTATGCCGATCCTTGTGTTTTGTTCATTTTAACGTGTTTTCGTGTTTATTTATTCAACTCTGCTCCTCGAAAACTCTCATGCCCGCGGAACCCAACCTAACGCGGAACGCGCGCCGGTCCATCCTTATGCGCACACTTCGCCGGCCTCCCAGGATACGTGCCTCCTTTACCGCCTGCATGCCCGCGATACCTTCGGGCCATTCTCCCTCGCCGATCTCGCGCCACCGCTGACCTTCCGGCGCCGACATTTGCCGCAATAGTTTTGGCCTCGCGACCTCCTCTCTGACCTCCGGCGCGGAATATTTTCGTTTGAACGGTGGCCGTTGACAGGCCAGCGGTTCCGGCCACACCCACGGACCCCTCTCCAACGGTTCGTCCCGCCTCGTCGCTTCGTCCGTTGCTGATCCTGGGCTCGATGACGCGGGTGTTCCCGGCCCGGTGCTTGGCGTCGGCGGAGTCCAGGGCTCCTTGGCCGTTGGTGCTGGCGTCGTCGATGCCTCGGGTCTGCCGCGGACCCTTGGGTCCCTCGGGCTTACGCGTGGCGCCTCCTCCTCCCAAATCCGCGGTTCCTCGTCAGCTGCTTCGTCCTTCACAGGTCCCTCTGGCCACGTCCACGTCATGGTCTGCTGCCACCACCGCACACCATCGACCACAAACGTTCGCGAACTATGGCTCACGTGTGCTGCTGGGATGTCCGTGCGGACGTGGTGCTCCCCCAGATCCGAACATTGCTGCTGTGGTTGTGATGGCTCAGGCTGTGGCGGCGGCGGCATCTCGGCTTGCTGCGGCTGCGGTGGCTCGGGGTGCTGTTGTAGCGACGGCTCGGGGTGCTGTTGTAGCGACGGCTCGGGCTGCTGCTGCTGCGTCGGTTCGAAACGAGGCGTGGGTGGTCGTGCGGGCCTCCACTTGGGTGACCCCTCGTACCGCGGTGTCGGCGGAATCTCAGGCAGCCACCGTGGCGGAGATGCTGCCCATTCCATTGCCCCTTCGGTAGGCTGGATGCGGGGCTCGGGGATGTACCTCGGCGTCGGAGGATACCCCGGATTCTCCCACAGCTGCTGCTCCTCCTCCTCGGCCGCCCGTAATTGGGCCTGCCATTCCGGCGAGTTCTCCATCTGCTGCCGCTGCTGTTCCGCATTCTTGCGTCGCTCCTCACACCGTCGACGGTTCTCCAGTGTCGCCGCTACGATGTAGCTGACGTAGTCGTTGGACATCGGCATGTCCTGAGGCTGCGTGGGTCCCTGCTCGCCCGGCGCTGTTGTGGCCTGGGGTAGTTCCTCGTTGGCCATCTCGGCCTGGTCCCCGATCGTCGGCAGGTCCTGGGGTGGCTCCTCGCTAGCCCACTCCACCTCGGCAGTGCCTGTCGGGATATGGCCGTTGCTGCGGTCAATCGCCCTCCGGATTCGCCATCTAATCTGCTTGCCCGGCTCGTCGTCCACCACCTGGACGTCGCTGTCAGAACTGACAACAGGCTCCGGAACCCCTCTCTTCGGGATCCGCCGCGGAGCTCGGATAGGCCGGGATGTTGACCGTCCTAGCCCCGGGCTGGATCCTTCGGATGGTTGGTGGATTTCCATGATCCTGCGTGCTTCGCTGCGGGTGATGCGGGTGCTCATGATGCTTGGTTTTTGCTGATTGACTATCTGGAGCCGGGCTCTCTTTAACGATACCTCGGTTTCGCGACTTTCCTTTTGTTAGGTACCGCTATTTCCTTCGCCTTCCTTATTCTAGTCCGGACATTACGGTACAGTTTTCTGTGCCATCTTCCCCCTTTCTTCGGCAAATGTTTGCACGCTTGCTTTGGTCAGTTCTAAAGTAGTTCTCGGATGCTTCGGTTGTTGTTTCTGACGAGTTTCCTGTAGTTATCCTTTGAGTTTCATATTATCCTTGTAGTCTTGTAGTATCCTTGGATAGTCCTCGGAGTTATCTTGTAGTATCCTTGGATAGTCCTCGGAGTTATCTTGTAGTATCCTTGGATAGTCCTCGGAGTTATCTTGTAGTATCCTTGGATAGTCCTCGGAGTTATCTTGTAGTATCCTTGGATAGTCCTTGGAGTTAACTTGTAGTATCCTTGGATAGACCTTGTAGTTATCTTGTAGTATCCTTGGATAGTTCTCGGAGTTATCTTGTAGTATCCTTGGATAGTCCTCGGAGTCATCTTGTAGTATCCTTGGATAGTCCTCGGAGTTATCTTGTAGTATCCTTGGATAGTCCTTGGAGTTATCTTGTAGTATCCTAGACTGTTGTTTCCGCCTGATGCCGTTGCTCGCTTGTTTCTTGTGTTTCTTGTTGTTTAAGCTCGCTTACATGTATGGTCCGCTCTTTCTTTGTGTTTACATGGCGTATTTTACATATTACAGGCGAAACAAAATCCACGACCTGGAATGGCTTGTCGTATCTAGGTGCCAACTTTGCTGCGAATCCTTCGGCCGCCTTCGATAAGTGGTGTTCTTTGGCCCACACGATGTCGCCCACTGCTGGTGTCCATTGCCTCCTCCTTAGATTATAATGCCTGGCTTGATCTTGGGAAGCTTTTTCTAGATTCCGCCTTACAATCTCGAAGATCTCTCTGAGTTTGTTAGCATTTTCATCCGGGATTTCAGTCGCTCGTCCTGCCTTGGGTAAGAAACGCCGGGCTGTATCCAGAGGATTCCGAAACGCTGGTGTTTACTGCAAGTAGAGCCCTGCATGAGTCCACTTGAATTGAGAAACAAGTCAGTTTTTTAAAATAGAGTGTTATAAGTTCAAATCCACTCACTTACAAGTTAGATTCAAGTGAGTGGTGCTGGGTCACTTGGTTCACTTGATCACTCGTAAGTAAAAACAAGTGATACAAGTCAGACTGAGAGTAAGTGAGAGTGATAGAATTATTAAGCAAATTAATTGAGTGATTTTTATTTCTTTTACGGCGAACCCCCAATAGTTCTATAAAAAACTTTGAACCAATTATGTAGAAAGTAAATTTACCTTGAACATGTCAATAAAGAAATCGCGGTTCGTACAAGACATTTGGGCTCCACTTTAAATGCCCCTTAAAAACTCGCGGTTCACCGAAGGACTGTTTGTATCTAACCGTAGAAATCCCTGAGGTGAAATTTATCTTTAGCCGCTCCTTAAGAACTCGCGGTCCACCACATTTTTGTTCGCTTGCAGTCACAAAAGTCGGATATATATCAAACTTTTTATGCCTCAAGAACTCGCGGTCCACGGAAGACTATCTAGTTCTTACCCATCAAAGTTCTTACAAACATATATATCCCTTATTAAAGAAAACTCACTTGCGTGTTTATGTCCCGCTCAAGATTTCGCGGTCCACGAAAAAACCCTTTACTCCCAACATCCTACCGAAGTCCAAGTTCTTACAATGACAAAAGCTTTGAATAATTTGTTTATTTACTGGGCAAGCATGAGATTGTCTGATAGGTGCAATCTTTTTATACCCGTTACTCGTAGAGTAAAAGGGTATATTGTTAGTCTTTTTCTGTTCATAGTTCTGGATAGTGTGAGATCAAGTCTGTTTCTGTGAGAGTCGAGTCTTATTCTGTAACGGGTGATAGTTTTAGTGATACATAATAAAGGATTCGAAAAAATTATTTTTTTAATTGGAATTTAGAAACATAATTTGGTTCACTTTTTCGCTTGATTTTGAAATGGTGCCTTTCTTTTCGGATATTAGCAACCGAGCCTGGGAAAATGATCTCTCTGAGGATGCACTACTTGTCAAGGTTAGGTCCATATCGAGCTCCAATATCCACAAATGAAGAAAATAATTTTTTTAGCCCACTATCGTTAATGGTTCTAAACGATCTGCAATTTTCCACAGTCCATTCGGTGGCTGCTTCGGTTATTCTCTTCTTAAAGTCATTGTCCACCTCGACATGGTTAATGGACAAATTCGAGCTTGCGCGTGCTGCAGCGATATGGCATTTGTGGCGAACAAGATTTGATGTGCAGTTCGTGTACCGAAAAATGGCATTACACTTTCTGCACGCTGCAATGCCGGCAATTAACTGTTCGTTACTGTCCTCCACCAACCCGAAAGTTGACCACACTGCGCTGCGCCCACGTTTATTGCGAATTTTATATTCGCCCGCCTTCAATTTATTTTGGGCCTCAGTTGGACATACCAGCTTTAAAAATATGTATTTTTTAATTTATATTTTATTTCATTTTAACAAAAATATAGCTTACGTTTTCCGAGGAAGCCATTTTAAACATGAACACAACTTATAAGGTCGAATTTATCTAACACTCTGAATCAGAACTTCAGAATTTAGTTCACTTACAAACGTTCTACTGACTTATAAGTCATAGAGTTCACTTTAACATTTCCAAGTGAACCGAGTGGACCAAGTTAACTTGAAAGTTGACTTGTTGTTTCCAGTCATAGAGTGATAGATCACTTTAAATTCATAGACTTGGCTTGCTTCACTTGAACTTGTTTTTTCAAGTTAGAGTGACTCAAAATTACAAGTTAACTTATAAGTTCTCACTTAAAAGTCAACTTTTGCAGGGCTCTAACTGCAAGCATGATTTCCGGCCATTTCTCGTCCCAATTTCTCTGGTCCTGCCCGGCGAACAGCGCAATCATTGTTTTTACAGTCCTATTCGCTCGCTCGGTCGGGTTCTCTTGCGGGGTGTATGGAGCTGTGAACTGTTGTTTAATACCCATATCGGCCAGGAAACCCTTGAAGATTCGGCTGGCAAATTGTACTCCGTTGTCCGTTATGACCACCTTCGGGACCCCATATTTTGCGATTATCCGTTCTCTGAAAGCTTTCTTTAGTGATTCGGCCGTCGCGCTGCGCAGTGGTACTAACAGTCCACTTGGAGAACCGGTCTATTAGTACTAGCAGCATTTGGTTGCCGTGCTTTGAACGCGGCAGAGGTCCGACGAAGTCCGCACATACCATTGCGTTCCTCTGGCACCTGCGTTAGCATTTTGCCAGCCGCTTGCATTTGATTCGGCTTGAATCTCATGCATATCTCGCATTTTCTCACATGGGCTCGGGCATCTCTGTGCATGCAGCCGTGCAATCGTCTTTCGGCTTCCAACGTGGCCCGCTGAAGGTGAGTCATGGTTCTCTTTTAGCATCGTTTCCCTTAGAGCTTTAGGGACGCACATCTTCCACGTTGCGACATCCTCGCTGCCTGCTCGGTGTGGTATGTTTCTGTATAGGGTGTCACCTTCCACCACGTAGTCCGGGTACTTTTGCGGTTGGGTCCTAACCTTCTCGCGCATTCCTTGAGTCCAGCTGCATGCTGCAGATGCTTCCGCCGCCGATGTCTCCTTGATCCCTAGAAGCGTTTCTGGTAGTGGCTGTCTTGACAGAGCATCCGCCACCACGTTGAGCTGTCCTTTCCGGTACGATACCTTAAAGTGGTAACCTTCCAGATATGGCTTTAGCTTCCGGATCGCCCAGACGATTGCCAAGCACTCCTTCTCAGTTGTCGAGTAATTTTTCTCAGCGCCGTTGAGCGTTCGGCTTGAGTAAGAGATTACCTTTTCGCCATTCTCCGATTCCTGGGTTAGTATTGCTCCGATGACGTAGTCGCTCGCGTCCGTTTGCAGGGTAAATGGTTTGTCGAAGTCCGGGCACGCCAGTACGGGATCTGCAACGAGTCTTGCTTTGACCTCCTCGAATGCTATCTGATGCTCTGGTGTCCACACCCACTTGTTGCCCTTGCGAAGCAAATCGTTGAGTGGTTTAACTATTTTTGCGAAGTCTGGTACAAACCGCCGGTACCATGACGCCACGCCCAGGTACTGTCGGAGTTCTCTTACTGTCGATGGGGGTTCCAGTTCGGCGATGGCTGCTACCTTTTCCGGATCCGTGCCTATTCCTTCGCTAGTCACTCGATGACCTAGATACAACAGTTCTTTCTTGAAGAATTGGCATTTTTCCGAGTTCATCCTCAGATTTGCTTCTTTTAGCCGCCGGAACACTTCACTCAGGTTTGCTTTGTGTTCTTCTAGCGTGCGTCCGATCACAATTATGTCGTCCTGGTAAGCGAGAGCGTGGGGTGACATTTCCGTACCAATTACTTGGTCCAACACTCGTTGAAACGTCGCGGATGCCGAATGGAGACCAAAAGGCATAACCCTCCACTGGAATAAACCTTTTCCGGGCACCGTCTAAGCCGTGTATTGCCTGCTGCTTTCCTCCAGTGGGATTTGCCAGTACCCATCCAAACTGCTGATGTACCTCGCTTCTCGCAGTTGGTCGAGGATATAATTTATGCGCGGCATTGGGTAGGCATCCTTTATCGACTTTGCGTTGATCTGCCTGAAATCGAAACAGAGTCTCCATTTGCCCGTCTTCTTCTTCACCTTCACGATATCTCTATATACCCCATTCCGAGAAGCTCATCTGCTTTTGAAGTCGGCTAGCTCTGCCTCCAGGAATTTCGCTGTGTCGCTATCCTCGCTTGTGTGTTGAACGACTGCCACCGATAGCTTTTCCTCGAGCCACCCATTGTGTCGGTTCCTGGCCGGTATTGTGATCTCGTGTCCGGCGCACTTTATTACGGTTCCGACTCGCGTGAGGAAATTCCATCCTAGCACCAACGAATCCACTACCCCTGGTAGTATCAGCAGGCTCATGGTCAATCGCTT